CGGGGAGGGGCCCCTTTACCCTCCCCCCACCGCATTTTGCTTACGTAGGGACCTGGCGACCCCGCCCTGGAGTGGGACAGGAGCCTCCATCCTCCCTGCACAGATCACGTGGCTAGGACGTTGGTGGTGGGGGCATTGTTGCTTGGACCTCGTTTTCCAGATTCTACCTGTGTGGCTAGGGGTTGATTTGGTTCTCCCCCAGCCCGTGTGAGTCTCCTGTTTGTTTAATTTGACATACTCACACATGCAGATGCCTTCTTGAGTGTCATTATGCCCAGTTTACACTTAGTTGTGGTTTTGATGCCCATTTCAAATTTCGTTTCCACCAGGGTTACTGTTTGAGGAACCATGTTTGATATGAGGGGAAGAAAGCGTCAGAGCACCTTTGGGGTTGTTCCCTGCTTTTTCCAGGAGTGTGTGTGTTCCCTGCCGTTTCCAGGACTAAGAGTGTGTGTGTGTGTGTGTGTGTGTGTGTGTGTGTGTGTGTGTGTGTTCTCCTGGTGACCTTATAGAGAGACCCCCAAAACCGACTCTCCTCTGCAGTGATCACGCTTCGAGGCTCTGTGTATGGTTTTTGTTAGTCTAAGACCGAGAACTCCGCTTGAGTGAAGACTTCAGGAAGGCGAGTAGTTAGGGTTGTCACGTGGGACCGGGATCTGCAGTTGCAAGGTAGTTTTCAAGGAGAAGACCTGTGCACTGACACACACAATGCACGGACACAAGGAATTTTCTTTACCAGTTTAGGAGTATCCCTGTGGCAAGACCTGCACAGAGACCGAGGGGAGTAAAAAGACTTTCCTTAGGCAAACGGAAGGAAGCTAGTTATTGGGCTAAGTTTGTAAGTGGTCTGCGGACATAAGGATGATGGACATTCCAGCGTTTAAAAACAGTCGGGAGGGGCAAATGGTCTGAAGTTGAGGGAAAGATTCAAATTTGAGTTAGAAAAATTCCTTTGGCCTTGTGAAGGTTAGAGGTAGAGAGTAACGGGGTGTGATGATGGGGACATAACTCCCCCAGGGGATGCCTCTACGTCCTGATCTAGCCTCTCAGCACTGAACCCCGTGGTCAGTAGATAACTGTGAATACTTCAGGCCTTCGCTACTTTGAAGGGGAAGCTGTGGTCCGAAGGTAACCGAAGCAAATTGGCTCAAGCTTTTTCATTCGCAACCCTTTCCTAGGCTGTGCCAATGGTGGTGGTCCTCTTTTTCATCCAATCAGAAACAAGCATTAGCTTTGCACTTTGAGAGACTCCATTGGCCAATCAGGTGGATTTTCAGAAGATGGGCACCCCCATAAGCCGCTGAAAATAAGTGAAAAGGAGGGATTTCCTGGTCTCCTTTGCGGAGAGGGCGCGGGGAAAGTAGTGGGCGGCTTGGAGACGGAAGAGGACTTTCTGTTTGATGGATTAGCCAGTAAGCCAATGAGGGTGGGGAGAAGGCGGGGCTTCTCAGAGAAATGGGGTGGGGACTTAATTGCCCATCCGGTATTCTATGGGAGGGTAGGCTTAAGCGCTTTAGTTCCAGAAACTCGGCCTATCATATTCGAGTTTATTTTAAGGCGGAGGGTTCAGCAAAATGACTGGCAGAGGTAGGCAGTCCCTTCCGCAGAACGGCATGTGCCGTGCCCAATAAGCGTACGAGGCGTGAGGCCGCTTCCCCTCCCCCCGCGGCGGGACCAGTGGCTCCCCCTATCGGGTGGGGGCGGTGGGTGACGGGCGTGTCCCTCCCCCAATGAGAGGCGGGGGGAGGCGGGTTCTGAGCCGCCATGTCGCGGAGGCTGCTGCCCCGGGCGGAGAAGCGGCGGCGGCGTCTGGAGCAGAGGCAGCAACCGGACGAGCAGCGGCGGCGGTCGGGAGCGATGGTGAAGATGGCGGCGGCGGGCGGCGGAGGCGGCGGAGGCCGCTACTACGGCGGCGGCAGTGAGGGCGGCCGGGCGCCTAAACGGCTCAAGACTGACAACGCCGGCGACCAGCACGGAAGCGGTGGTGGCGGCGGAGGATCCGGGGCGGCGGGCGGCGGCGGAGGGGTGAGGCCAGGATCCAGAGGGACAGGAATGGACGGGAAACGAGGAAAATTTCCCATCTTTGGGATATTTATTTTTTTTAGGGTGCCCTGTGCGCAGGCGCTCAGGCCTCGCGCCGTTGACTGGGTGGGGGAGGGGCGTGCGTTGGCCGAACGGCGGGGTTTGAGCGAGGAGAGGCGCGTGCGCGTGCGTCCCCGGCTGAGCCGAGGGAGGGGCCGGAAGAGGCCTCGCGGGCTGCGGGTGCTGCAGTGCGCAGGCGTGCCGGGCCGACGCGTGGGGGCCGAGCACGCGGTCTGGCCGCTCTCCCCTGCCTTGACCATTATTTTCGGGTGTTTAGTGCGCAGGCGCATTGCTCGCTCCTCGCCTCGTGGGCGGCTGCGCGCGCGCGGGGTCGCCTCGTAAATGGGCTGGGTGGGCGGTGGCCTCGTCTGCTCTGCCCAGCGCCTGAGTAGTTCTTTCGTCCCCGTTCTTGTCTGTCTGTCGTTAGGTTGCACTCCTGGGGATAAAATAATGCGCTTAAGAATATTTTTCAGTATTAAACAGTACGTTAACTGGGTTTGTGGCCCCAAGGGAAGGGTTTGTGAAAGGTCGGGGTTTCACTTTCAAGTTTTGGGAACCATTCTAGTTTCCGAGCTTCCTTCATGAGCTCCCACATTTGCCTCAGATACTTTCTAAAGGTTAACAAACGGGATTTGATGACCCGCGATGTTTCTTGAAGGTGGTAGGCACGGGCAAAGGGCCTTGCTCGTTTTTCTCCCTCCTTAAAAAAAAATCCAGTGTTATTTTTAGGTTGGAGATTTTTGTCTTACCACGATCTTTAAAGAGTTTTCTTCCTTTATAAATTTTTTTTTCTAGGTAGAGATTAAGATTTCTAATTCATTGAAGAGAAAACCAGTAAAGAGAGATGAGGTAATTTAGGTTAGAGTATAGCTGGTAAGGGACAGGGTTGGAATTAGACCTGAGGCCTGTGAAAGTCCACTGAGCCCCGGGGATTTACCTCCTGTGGTTTGTGTGGCTCATTTTTGAAATCGAATCCAATCCTGTTTTTGTTCCATGGGCTTGTGCCCGGTGGTTCTCTGACAGACGCTGGGCTGGGATCCAGGAGAGGTGACAGAGAAAGTTCTTGCTGACTCTCAGAGGGTATATGTTTGGGTGGAAAGATACTTTCCCTGGGGAGGAAAGGATAGTTGTTCTTACTGTAATGGGTTGAAGTTTTTCTCTTTTTCCTCAGTCTAGCCCAAGGTTTTTTCAAAGCTATTCTTACTGGAGAGTGAAAAGATTGAGCCTGTTAATCTCAGCTTCTGAGGCACATTTTTAACGTACCCTGATGCTCTCGGGGTGGGGACTGTAATGCTTGACTAGGTGGCCTTGGTAGTTTGCTCAACCAGGGCCAGAGACGTTTGGGAAGCTGCCAAGGGAAAACCCTAATTCATACTGCAGCAGACAGCTGAGTGCTGAGCCCTTTCTACTAGTCATTTCGCTTTTCCATACTACTATTTTCCCACATTTCCTCGATTGAGAGAACCACTTGGGGGGAAAGGCAGATTACTGGAGACCTGTAACCATTTGAAACTTAACTAGTCCTCCATTTTGCTTTCCTCAGAAGCTACAGCATGGGCCAGTGGGCAGTGGCCACCTGCTCAGGGCTTTAGCTCTGCTGCCCAGAATCTGCCGGTGGGGAATAATATCCTGTGCCTTTGTTGTCTGTACTGGGTTTTGGTGTGGTTTTTTTGTTGTTGTTGGTTTGTTTTTTTTTTTAAATACTCAACTGTCTTATGTGACTGGGTTGCCACCAGCACACTAAAATCTAAGTTTCCCTTAATTGTATTTTTTTTTTTTCCCCTTTAATTGTATTTTCTTTCCTCAGGAGAATTACGATGATCCGCATAAAACTCCTGCCTCGCCAGTTGTTCACATCAGGGGCCTGATTGATGGTGTGGTGGAGGCTGACCTCGTGGAGGCTTTACAGGAATTTGGACCCATCAGGTACTGTCCTCGAAGGCCAAGGGTTAGATCTCCAGAGGAGCAAGCTCCTTGGATTAGTCTAGATTCCTTTGAGTAGGTCCTGGGGCATTTTTTTCTTCTTATGGGTTTGTTTTATTCTTAAATATTTTGGATCAGATTATGACAAGTTCATGTCTTCTTTTCATTTTCTGCCTTGTAGTTTCTAGTCAGCATTTTTGTATTTATCAAAAGTCATTTATATATCACATGTTGGGTATTTGGAACATAGAAAAGGTACTGTGCTGGACTCCTCAAAGTCACCTATCCAGAGTGATTAGTCTTGTGGTAGGGAGATGCTAGCTAGCAGTCTGAAGTAAGTATCTGATTGTAAGGTGAGAGATCAGGAAATCTTGCAGCATAGTTGTTAACTGAGACACATGTAGCCTCGGGTGTTCAAATCAGGAAACCTTGCCTCTGGATGGTGAAGCCATGGGAGGAGTAGGCTCACAGGAAATGGGAGGACATTGTTCTTGTTGAGAAGATTGAAACTTGAGTTTTCTCTCTCCCTCTCTCCCAGTTATGTGGTGGTAATGCCTAAAAAGAGACAGGCTCTGGTGGAGTTTGAAGACGTGTTGGGGGCTTGCGATGCAGTGAACTATGCAGCTGACAACCAAATCTACATTGCTGGTCACCCAGCTTTTGTCAATTACTCTACCAGCCAGAAGATCTCTCGCCCTGGGGACTCAGATGACTCGCGGAGTGTCAACAGCGTACTGCTCTTTACCATCCTAAATCCCATCTACTCCATTACTACGGTTCGTATTTCTGTAAGGTCTTCTCATATCCTTTGAGCCAGACTTGACTCTTAACCTGGCTTCCCTTGGTTTTTACAGGATGTTCTTTACACTATCTGTAACCCTTGTGGACCTGTCCAGAGAATTGTCATTTTCCGGAAGAATGGTGTCCAGGCCATGGTAGAATATCCTTTACTGGTATTTCATGTTCTTTAGGTTAGAGGCTCTTTTGGAGCTTGAATGCCTGCAGATACCTTCATAGGGTTCACAGGGTGATAGGAGACAACTGATCATCAGAAGCAAAGTGGAAAATTGAAAACATTAAATGCTAAGAACGCTGCTGTAGGATAGAAAGCAAAGAAACTTAAAGGATTTCTTTTAATGTCTGAAAGACATGCTCCCATAATACCTTTTAAGGCAATGAGGTCCTATTTTTCTGAAGAGGTAAAGGAGCATTTAAATTCCTTGATATGGGGAAGAAGAAAAGAACCTAAGAACTGAAGTTTAGCAGACAGTGTTTAAGCCCTAGAAGATGTTACTGTGCTGTTCTGGGCATTGAAGCGAAGCTAAAGGTGCAGTGGGATTCCTGGTCTTCAGGACAGAAAGGCTAGTCTGGGACTGCTTAATTAAATGCCAGTGGAGTGGAGAAGGGAGATGAGGAAGCCCTGGGGTAAGGTGAGAATAAGAGTGTGAAAGCACTGGCCAAAGTCGAGCTGGGGGACAGTAAGTTGACCATAAATACCTTATCACCTTTCCCATCATGAGATTGCTTGGTGCTTTCATGACAAGACTTTTCCTTAATTTGTTTCACATTTGACTCTGTACAAAGTGCACAGCGGGCCAAGGCCTCCCTCAATGGGGCTGACATTTACTCTGGCTGTTGCACTCTGAAGATCGAGTATGCAAAGGTAGGTAGGTGTAGGCAGGCTTGGTTCCCAGTCAGCTTCAAGGTGAGCTGGGACATGCCTGATCTCAAGTGTTTTTGTCCCTGCAGCCTACACGCTTGAATGTCTTCAAGAATGATCAGGATACTTGGGATTACACAAACCCCAACCTCAGTGGACAAGGTAATCTTGGTGGCCTCTTTGTTCTAAACATACCCCACCTTGCCTTCACTTGACTAGGCGCACTTTATAAACCTGGACTCATGGTTATGTAATGCCATTGGGCTCCTTGTGGACACAGGAGGGCCTTTAAAAGCACACTCCAGTGGAGGTAAACGTGAATGAGGGGTGTCTGTAGAACTTAATTTTTTGAGGCCCTTTTGATGGTGCAGTGAGGAACCAGGGCCGCCTACAGGGTAGGGTAAGGTGATGATTTCTAAAACAAAAGCAGTTCCCAAGTGGATTCTGCTGCTTCCCAGGACTCTGCCTGGTTAGGGTCATTGATTTCTGTTTTTTGCTCCCCTGGGGATAGTCTCCTTCCTCTTGAAGGGTTTAAATAGTTTGGGGAGGCAACAAGGCTCTTGAAGCAAAACCTCTGGGTAAGTTGACCTTGGAAGTGACACACTGGATTGGGACAGAGCATACAAGCCTCACTTCACTTGGAGAGGTGATTCATTGGCTCTGCATTGGGCTTTAGATAGCCGCTTTCTTAGTGTTTTTCAAGCATGACTTTGTTTTGATGAGGGGAGAGGTGGAGAAGTAACATTGGGAAATGGCGGCAGCCCCTTAGCAAGCTCATCCACCTTTGTCATGGTCTGATACATCAGACTAGGTTAGGACAGAGGGAGGGGAGATGGTTGCTGACCTCTTGGGCCCCGGTTCCTGGGCAGGGTGGACTAGACTTCACAGGACCCAATTTGTACAGTGGGCCCTCTGAGATCAACTGCCCCTTTCAAAGGTCAGAGGCAAATTGGTGATCGAATGAATGTACAAGAACGGCCAATGGCATTACATGACTGCTAACAGAAACATGGCAACCAACCATTTCTTCTCCAAGGAACATAAATAGAAGATGTGCAGACCAGCAGGGGCTAGTGGCAGGGGCTGTCTGTGCATTGGTTTTGCTGCCTCTCAGCTTTGGTCGCCTCAAGACTGGGGGCCAAAAACTGGGCTGATGCGGTAACCAGGAGTGAGGGCGGTGCTTTGCCAACCCCCTCAGGAATCATACTTCAGCGGCTCTGCCTCTGCACATTGCTCACCAACACACAGGGTAGACAACCACTAGCTCTTCCTGGAGAAAACAACATGCAGCCTCCACCACGTCCCCAGAAACAGCTGCAGACTTGAGCTCACTACATCAAGAACACCACACCGTGCTCCAAGGAACAGCTCCAAGCACAGAGACAGAGGCAGACAGAGACAAAGAAAGAAACGCAACAAGGCAGCAGACACTGCTATTTATTAAACATTCTTTTAAAAGTCAAAATCCAAGCAAACTTGAACCCGAGAATGTACACAGAAGTAGGAAACACAGAGAACAGAGCTCTCCCAGCCAGCCAGCGGTGCTCTTTTCGGAAAACGTTTCATAGACTGAAGTAGATTCCATGGGCCTCCAAGACAATAGGATCTCTCCATTCCTCGCCATATGGGTGATTTTAAGTCCTTTGGGGAGGGCTTTTTTTTTTTCTGTTTTGATGTTTTTATTTTTTCTGCAGTCAATCAGCTGCCAACATAAATCTGCACCAACTGGAGATCAGGAACAAAAACTAAACCACAACAGCAGAAAAAAAAAAATCAAAAACCAAAACAGACTTAAAACCAGACAGCCAAACAGCTCAGAGGCACACTGTTACCTGCTGGTGGGTAACTGGTGTGCTCCCAAGGCCAAAATCGCGAGCATAGTGGGGCCACTGGCACAGTCCATATCCAGGAGACACGCACACGGAGCGCTACACAGCCAGAAGCACCGCACCACCGCACTGAGCACATAATTGTGAGGAGCTGACCACATGGAGGGACACAAAACCACTTCATACACCTTTATTTTCCACTTTCTGATATCTTCTGAGGACAGAACATCTGTGAGACAATTTTGATTTAATCAAAGCATTGACTTTTAAAAACAATTCTTAAAAAAAAAATGTAGCGGATATGTACCGTGACTTGTATTTATGACTGTAAAACCATGTGATGCAGGGCCGCAGTGTATGTTTGATGGGACGCCATCTTTCAGAACTGTGCTAACTCACTGTTGAAGCGTCCAATGGTAAGAGAAAAATACAGATTTTTTTTTGTGACAAATGGACATTGTACTATGTACTTCTGCTGTAAGTAGCTCTTTTCCATCTTTGTAATAATTGGTTGTCGAGACAGCCCAGGCTGGGTGGCAGAAAGGGCAGACAAAATCTCTGGCTGTGAAGCTGGCGAGACCTGGGATCAAATCTTGACTCGGCCACCAACTGTTTACATTTGTTTATTTGTAAAATGGGGCTGGACTAATACCTACCTCATAGGGTTGTTGTGAGGAACTCAACAAACTGTGATCTCTGTAAAGCACTTAAAAGTAGTGCTTGCCACTCAAGCGCTCAATTAATGGTAGTGATTATGAACTGCAGCTGGGGTCAGGAGGTGGATCTGCGTCACTGGGTCTGAGAATGTTCATGCATTTTGTGTGTGGGGGGGTGGGTGTATACACACACACACATATATATATATATGTGTCTCTGTGTTGTTTTCTTTGTGTGTGTGTGTGTGTTTCTTATTGTGTACTGT